GCACATCCACGCCCAGCTCCGTCCCTGCCGTCGGCGTCCGATCGCCATGTCGTCATCGTCGCCGCAGACGCCCGCGTGCGCGGAGAAAGAACTTCCCAGACGATTCTCGGACGAATCAGTCGGGTTAGGGAGCGCCCCCTGTGTGTGTGTGTGTGTATGTATGTATGTGTGTGTGTGTGTGTGTTGTGTGTGCGTGTGCGCGCGTGTGTGAGCGTTTGCGCGCGCGTGCGTGCGCGCGTGCGTGTGCGAGCGTGTATGTGCGGTCGTATGCGTGTGTGCGCGCGTGCGTGTGCGAGCGTGTATGTGCGAGCGTATGCGTGTGTGCGCGCGTGTATGTGCGAGCGTATGCGTGTGTGCGCGCGTGTATGTGCGAGCGTATGCGTGTGTGAGCGCGTGCGTGTTCGCGCGTGTATGTGCGAGAGTATGCGTGTGTGAGCGTCTGCGCGCCTACGTATGTGCGAGCGTATGATGACTACCGTGTGTTTCACCGTCCGGATCAACGCGATTTCAGAATTTATTACGTATGACATTGTATTTTATCGCGGTAAATAGTCCAGTAGTTTTACTGCGTCTTGCTTATCACTGACTGCTATGTGGGCGTCGGATGGAAGACGGTGTAAGCTAGACGGGCAGATTTCATGTTACGATCGTGAAATGTTTGCCTGACAAACATTTGCGTAAAGTTCATTCTCGTCACGTGAGTCCGTGCTCGCGTATCTTCGAGTTACATCTATCTATCTATCTATCTATCCATCTATCCATCTATCCATCTATCCATCTATCCATCTATCCATCTATCCATCTATCCATCTATCCATCATCATCTATCCATCTATCAATCTATCCATTATCCATCTATCTATCTAGCTCTCTAGCTCTCTAGCTAGGTCTCTATCTATCTACCTATCTATCTCTCTAGCTCTCTAGCTCTCTAGCTCTAGCTCTCTAGCTCTCTAGCTCTCTCTCTCTTTCTCCTCTTTCTCTCCTCTCTCTCTCTCTCTCTCTCTCTCTATATATATATATAATATATATATACTATATATATATAGTATATGGGGCGGTGCGTGCGTGCGTGCGTGCGTGCGTGCGTGCGTGCGTGCGTGCGTACGTGCGTGTATGTGTATGCGCGTTAGCGCGCGTGTGTGTAAGATGGATAGGGAGGGAACGAGAGAACGAGAGAGAGAGAGAGAGAGAACGCGCGCGAGAAAGCTAAAGAGCGATCGAGAGAGCGAAATAGAAAGAAAGGGAGAGAGAGTGACGGAGCGGAGAGAGAGAGAGAGAGAGAGAGAGGGGAGAGACAGAGAGAGCGATAGATAGAATAGATAGATAGATAGATAATGGCCTATGTGCCACGTTTATACCGACGTGCCGTGCTATATGTATGTGCGTGCGTGCGTGTGTGTGTGGTGTGTGTGTGTGTGTGTGATGTGTGTGTGTGTGTGTTGTGTTTGCGTGCGTACGTGTGTGTACAGCCGTGCGTGCGGGCGTAACGTGCGTGCGCTGCACTTGTGCGTGCGTCGCGTTGTGTTTACTGTATTGTGTGTGGGGGGGGGACAGGAATGTTTATGGACGGGGTGTTTATGTATTGTTGTGTGTGGGGGGGGGGGACAGGGAACGCGGCGGCTACGCGATGGTCGCTGCAGTACCATTCAAGTGCGGGTTGGCAGTGTACGCAAGTTACTTCTCTCTCTAATCTCTCTCTCTCTCTCTCACTTTCTTTCTCTGTGTCTCTCTCCTCTTCCTCCCCTTTCTCTATTCTCTTCTCTTTCTCTCTCTCTCTTCTCAGCTCAAATCAGGCCAGCACTCCATGTACAAGCAAGGAACGTAATTAATTTCAAATCGCAGATACAAGCAATATCGAGATGGCATATCAAATGTTGTGGGATGCATATTGTGATATAAATCACTCTTCATTTTCTATTGCTGTTAAATTATAGCTAGTGCTAAAGTTTGGCTTCTAGAATGTATAGTTCAAGCAGCAAAACAGCAGGTCTTCGTTGCACTCGATCGCTTGGTGTTGGGACGCGCCTAGCGAGTGCGTGTACGCGCAGCGACGTTTTATAACAGCTCAGCCTCGCTAGCTGTAATGCCGTGTTTTTTGAGTTAATAAAGTTGTATTAAACGTATTATCTTTTTCAGTTATTATTATTCTTTCGGCAAGACATAACACATCGTGATATTGTGGCTTAGAAAATATAATTAAGGGGCAGAATCTCTACCATAATCTAATAGCCCTCTCTAATATTAGCGCACATATGTGATACCAATAGTAAGCACGACACAGAATTAAAACGGAAGTTGAGTCAGAACTGAAATGTTTTCTTACATTGCGTGTAGAGAAATATGTGATCAATAAAGTAACTACAATGAATTTAGATTGAATACATGAATAAAACAAAAGGTTGAATTGAGAATATTATTCCATGAGTAGTAGGTGAACCATACATATAACCAAGATATTGTGATTTATATGCGTCGGGTAAAAACTAGAAACTGACTGCTTGAGCAATGTTGTTCATATCTCTGTAAAATTAGCGAGAAATATAAGACTCGCAAGTTGGCTGCCGAGGATAAAAACGGCCAAAGGAAGATACGCATGGCCAATCAACGGACTGACCGCATGTCAGCATAGGATATATACGTATATCATTATGTGCCTATCGCCGTTGGCGCGTACGAAAAAAGATGGCGCTCTGCAGATTCGCAGATACCAGGCTCGTCGCACGAATTACCATGATTTCCCTAAGTCGGATAAGCCACGAGAATGATTAATTCATAATTTGCGGCCGCAGCTCTAGTATTTTCGTGCGACGAACGGGGCATGCGCAAATCCTCTATTTCCTGTGTGAAACTGAAATTAATTCGAAATTAATATAGCCAAAAACCCGCAAACAAAGCGGAGTTTCTGGATGCCCCTAATAGTTGGCCCGATAGAAGCAGTATTCGCGCTGAATTCTTGCAATGTTCCTAGAGAGCACGTCGCCAGTACTGGGTGCTGCGATTAAAAAAGTTTCGCTAGCGTCTCAGCCCGTCGCTCGCCACCGCTTCGCTCTTTTAGCTCTTCTTGAAACTTGAGCCTCAAGGGCCTTGTCGGTGAATCAGCAACACCATGGCAAAGCATTGCTCTCGTGTAAGTTATTTATACGGGGAGCTCGCATGGTGCACGTTCGTATGCAAAGATTACGCGTCTAGAGATAAGAACAACGCCCGATTATCGCCTGTTACGGAATCAAGAGTTTAAAAGACGGCAAGTGAACTTGTAGCCATCCGTGCACTCACGCACGCTGCTTGCCCCGGCATATGACACAGACATTATGAATACACTATTAGCGTGCACTAAGCTTACACACCGGTAGTGACGACGGTAAGCACTCAGTAAAGACACACGCATATGACACACTATATCTCTAGGATCATAACAGTCTAGTGTCTAGTTCCGCACGAGATGGCACCAGTGTTTCTGCGGAGTGGCCAACGAGCGGCTGGATACAGCCAAGCCTTCCTGAAGCGATTCAAAGTTTTCTTTTTAGCTTCATGTTCAACTTCCAAAGTAGCGACAGAGATTCGAACCCGAACTGCGCGAATGAGCGTCATCGCCTGTTGAAGTTCCGAACGCCGAGGCTGTGATGGATGTGCTGTTTGGGGGGCGGCCTTCCTCGCTAACATGCTAGTCGTTTGGGCAGCTGAAGAGTTTTGCGCATACTGCCAGCACGAGCTGCTGCCGTGTCTACGCATGCCAACATGGTCGCGCCCGTTGACGGGTGGATAGTGGGAGTTAGCTACGTATATATATATATATATATAGAGGGAGAGATAGGAGATAGCTCATAACACTTACATAATAGTGTATATATATATATCAAAATATATATTAGATATATATAATTTCAGCTCCTCTCCTTTTCCTGTAAATAGTGACGTTGGTGACGCATGGGCGCTATCGGCAGTATTTCACATCTGGACGACGGATTAACGCCCCAGCTATAAATATACATATAATTATTCAGCCTTCCCATCTCGAGCACGTGTGCAAACAACTATGCGTCACAGACGGGTGATGGTCGTGGTGCGCAGTGTTAGGCGGGCGGGGCATGAGCATCATACTTCGCGCCATAGCAATACCCGGCCTTATCTGTACATTACGGACCGTATTTGGTAGAGAATATATAGACTGCCTGTGTGCTGTGTGCTTGTGTAATTTCTAATATAATATATATATATTATGTCTAGTTATATATCATATATATATATATATATAGATATATATATAATATATATATATATATACTATAAGTATATATATAACTTAGACATATTTACGTTTGTAGTTGTCTGCGCGGGACGGTCGCATACATACCAATATTCTGTGCGAAACGTGTACATATTATCAGCGAGTGAAATAAATCATAGATTGTTCACTCGCTGATATTATTATCCTCGTATTATATTTCGCTCCTTCATATTATCGAAGAAACTGACACGTATTAGCGCGAGGTTTTAGCGTACATAGATTGGGCCCACGCAAAAGCTCATCAGTATAAAGCTTATATGCATGTGCTCATTCACATTTTGAATTGTGTAGAGTCACCTTAATGCATCCGATATACCGACTGCATATCAGGAGCTAATCAATGACAAATATTACCTGCACAAATTAATTACAAAATTATATAATACTGCTCATTATTAGCTCCTGATGATATATTAGCGACGCATGACGTTTATATTCTTGCGCCATGCGCGCTGCACTCTCCTGCCTCTCTCTCTCTCTCTCTCTCTCTCTCTCTCTCCCCCTCCTCTCTCTCTCTGTCTCTCTCTCTCTGTGTGTGTCTCTCTCTCTCTCTCTGTGTGTGTGTGTGTGTGTGTGTGTGTGTGTGTGTGTGTGTGTGTGTGTGTGTGTGTGTGTGTGTGTGTGTGTGTGTGTGTGCGTGCGTGTGTGTGTGCGTGTGCACGGTAGTAAAAACAACACATGGGAAATACTAACATTAGCAATGCTATATAATAGTTTAATCTTTGTGCATATAGTAGCTATTCAATTACCATTTAAAAGTACTTCACTTGAATTACTACACAAACGAGACTTACTACAAACGAGACAATCGAAGTTAATGATGACGATTTTACAATCTTGTAGACAGAAAGCGATCGTTGTCTAAGTACGAAACCTCTGCAAATATCTTCACGTTTGTCGTGTTTCCTTGGAGATTATCATCACTGTAATCCGTCTCAGTACTTGATATTTCTGTCTCAGGGTGGCGGCACCGTCGCACCAGAGGAATGACTCCGACGAAGATTCCTCCTAGGATGAACGAAGCTCCGAGTAGGTAGAGGGCGCTATCCACCGATCCCGAAGTATCAACGAGATATCCTGTTTTTATGCAAGACTTTAGACTTTAAATGTTTATGGTCTATCAAGTGTTAATTTATAACGTGACACAGACATTGCTTGGGGTCGCTAAGCGTACTGGTGCTTTCTCTACCCCGCTATTTCGCTTTCTTTCTTTCTCTCTCTCTCTCTCTCTCTCTCCCCGTCTCTCACTCTCTCACTCTCCCCTCATTCCACCCCTCTCTGTACTCTTAATTGCGATTCCATGTAATCCTTGTGCTCAATCATTTATATCACAATAAAAATCCGCACATTTAGAAGACGTTAGAAACTTCGAACTTTTATTAATTAATACGTAATTTTTTTTAAAGCCGCATATTTAGAAGACGTTAGAAACTAACTTTTAATTAATTACGTACTTAATTAATACGTAATTTTAATTTAACCGTAACTATATATCTCACCCGTAAACAGCGGTCCCACGGCCATCACTGCCCCTTGTCCGACCATCACTATCGAGTAACCGTTGCCGACTTGCGTAGGTCCGGCAATGTCCATCGTGATGGGGATGAAGGTGGAGAGAACTCCGGCCACCAACACACCCGTGACCATCGTCCATCCGGCCAGCAGCTCGTTCACTGTGATGAAGATGCAGGCGAACACCAGACCTCCGCTCAAGAAAAGCAGTATACCGATCCCAATCATTCGAACGTTGGGTTTACGGAAGACGCCGTGGTCCCAGACGACGCCCCACAGCACGCGGCAGATCGTCTCCGCGATGCTCATGAAGGCGATCATGGTGGCGCCACTGAAGCTGCCATCTCCCAGCTTGTCGGTTATCAGCGGCATCAGCTGGTAGATACTGAGATAGGCGAATATGAACAGCGTCAGCGAGAGCGCAAACAGAATGAAGCCGGCGTCCTTCAGCAGGTGCCATGGAAACGTAATCGCAGCGGCGCCATCCTTCGCACGGGCGCCATCTTTGCATGCGACGGTGGCGCCGTCGCTGCACTGCGGGGCGGTGTGCGACTCGATGCAGACGACGACACCGCTGCTGAGCGTCTCAGCATCGTCATCGCAGAAGCCGACGTTGTCGACGCCGTCGCCAGCGCCCTCCCGCGGAGGAATCTTCTCCGACGGCGGCGCCACCGTCGCGGACAGCGGTCGCATCAGCGCGCCCGCAGCGACGATGTTCAAGGTGACGGCGCCGGAGACGAGGAAGGTACCGCCGATGTTGTACTGCTGTAGAAGGAACTCCGTGAGGTAGGGGAAGAGCAGAGAGCCGACGCCCGTACCGCAGATGCAACGAGACGGATCCGATCGAGTATGCGCTGTCCGGAAGTAGACGACGAGGATGGAGACTGGACTGGGCTGACGGATAGTCGCAGTCTCCGCGCCTGCAGAAGAGCAGCGCGCATGCCGCACGAAGAAACGTCATCGACAGCTTAGCATGAGTCGTTATACGTATTATAAAATAAACTGCACAATTCAAAATTGGCGTCCGTGGGGAGTACAGATACACTGTGGAGCACTACACACGTGCAGTACGCCTGCGCACGCAAACTGACACGCAGCGGCTACGCACACGACGCGCAGGCGCGCCAGACGCACGGGGCACGGCACACACGCCCCACAACACGCCCACATCACGCACACACGCACACACGCACGCAACGCACGGCACGCACGCACACGCACACATCATACACACAAACACTCACACGCACACATACACAGCAGCACCCACATAGGTACACCGCATGCACGGCACCTACCCGCACGCTGATCGCGACAGATGCGGCACATGGCCACGCACCTAGATATAATCGTATATATATCCGTATACGGTATCGCATATATTATATATATATTATATATATATACGTTTATATCTCATTCACGATCATCAAAGTGACTCTAGCAAAATTGATATGTCGCCGCGCCACTGATATATATATCCACACGCGTTGATAATAAGCTAGAACGTAATATCAAGTGTGTGTGAGGTGTGTGTGTGTGTGTGTGTGTGTGTGTGTGTGTGTATGTGTGTGTGTGTGTGTGTGTGTATGTGTGTGTGTGTGTGTGTGTGTGTGTGTGTGTTGTGTGTGTGTGGTTTTGTGTGTGTGTGTGTGCGGCGCGCGCGTGCGTGCGTGCGTGTGTGTGTGTATGTGTGTGTGTGCTGTGTGTGTTCTGTGTGTGTGTGTGTGTGTGTGTGTGTGTGTGTGTGTGTGCGAGAGTGTGTATAACATTGTGTCTGCCATAGTCACGTCGCTGCATTTGCTTAGTATATCACACCCTCTGACATTTCGCATTGTACTCTCATTTTATGATACAAGACAGTCTGATAACGTGTGCCGCGTTTCGATTTTTTTCCATGTTTTGTCTCTCTTAGTCTAGCCTTACCAAATGCTACTCCGTAGCTGATGTACATGGCGGTGAGAGTGGTGGCGAAATATGACGAAGAGAGACCCAGGCCAGCTAGAAGACCTCCCACAATGATCACTTGCCGGTGACCGTACTTATTAGACAGTATGCTGGCAAACGGAGCTGTGAGATCGAAATACAAGACAAAGTTCACACGTCACATCGTCGTTTAGTCTATGTTACGAAAAATTGATAGTGTAATAGTCGATCTTTAGATATTATGTGGTTGTGCTACGACTGCTTGCATCTCCACCCATCATCACCATACATCTGGCTGTATTACTACTGCTTACCTAAGCCTGCATCTCCACCCATCATCACCATACATCTGGCTGTATTACTACTGCTTACCTAAGCCTGCATCTCCACCCATCNGTGTGTGTGTGTGTGTGTGTGTGTGTGTGTGTGTGTGTGTACAGGCGTGCGTGCAGGCGGGGCGTACGTGCGTGCTGTGCACTTGTGCGTGCGTGCGTTGTGTTTATGTATTGTGTGTGGGGGGGGGGCAGAGAACGCGGCGGCTACGCGATGTCGCTGCAGTACCATTCAAGTGCGGGTTGGCAGTGTACGCAAGTTACTTTCTCTCTCTATCTCTCTCTCTCTCTCTCTCTCTCTCTCTTTCTTTCTCTGTGTCTCCCTCCTCTTCCTCCCCCTTTCTCTATTATCTTCTCTCTCTCTCTCTCCAGCTCAAGATCAGGCCAGCACTCCATGTACAAGCAAGGAACGTAATTAATTTCAAATCGCAGATACAAGCAATATCGAGATGGCATANTCATACCGTATAGATCATAGTTGATCACTACCGTATAGATCATAGTTGATCACTACCGTATAGACCATAGTTGATCACTACCGTATAGATCATAGTTGATCACTACTGTATAGACCATAGTTGATCACTACCGTATAGATCATAGTTGATCACTACCGTATAGATCATAGTTGATCACTACCGTATAGATCATAGTTGATCACTACCGTATAGACCATAGTTGATCACTACCGCATAGATCATAGTTGATCACTACCGTATAGAT